TTAATTCTTATTATTTTAAGTATTTGTATAAGAATTGTAAAGTTGTTAAAGACATTGTTAAAGCAATTGTGTTGTATTAGTGAACAGTATTTCATATAAAATAAATACATATATATGACGTTTATAAACTTTATATTGTGTTGACTTGTTCATATTGAGTTTATTCAGATCTGAGCGTTACACTACAAGGGACGAGCATTAATTCTTATTATTTTAAGTATTTGTATAAGAATTGTAAAGTTGTTAAAGACATTGTTAAAGCAATTGTGTTGTATTAGTGAACAGTATTTCATATAAAATAAATACATATATATGACGTTTATAAACTTTATATTGTGTTGACTTGTTCATATTGAGTTTATTCAGATCTGAGCGTTACACTACAGTCCTTCTTAACGTAAAGAAGCATATGTAATCCTTATTTTCAAAGAAAATCTAAAGGGGCCTCTTATACCATGTAAAGATCAAGATATGAGCCGCGTCATGACAAAACCAACATAATGGGGTTTGCGACCAGCATGGATCCAGACCAGCCTACGCAGGCTGGTCTGGATCCATGCTGGTCGCAAACGCACTATGTTGGTTTTGTCGCGACGTGGCTCATATTACAATTATCAACCTATATGAACTAAACAAAGGTGATGAAGCTTTTTTCAAACTTCTTGTGAATTTTATTCTTGGGATGAATGATACAAATCTAATAACTTTGGGTGTTTTAATAGAGTTCTTAAAAGAACTCCATTGAGTTTTATCAGCCTTAAAATATAAAATTTTAATTGCTCACATAGATCATCTGGGGCCCTTTAAACAGAAACATAACTAAGAAATATACTCAGGTTACATTGAAAATCGCATATTTATGCGTTTAAGTGAAAAGCGTTGCAACGCTTCTCAATTTTTGGTCATTTTTCACATTGTGAATACTTATTCTGAAAAAAACGGAGCGAGCTAATGATCTGAAATTTTGCACATCAACCGACATCAAATGATGTAATCATCGCGAAAAATTTATATTCAGTCCCGTCATGTCAAAAAAATCTCAGTGGAGTCCCTTTAATCCTTCAAAGGATAAAAGAAATGGCCTTTTTCTGCCTTTTTCTGTTTACACCCTCAATCAAGAAAAACACTAAAATAAATCATAAAAGAATGCAATCATAATAATTTTATGAGGAAACCTAAACCAGCCTTCGTATCACTACACTTGGCGGTCAAATATTATGCAGACTTGATTACACAAAAAGAAACAGATAATCCTTTTTTGATGACAGTGCAAAAATGGTTTAAAGACAGAAATGGCAGGGTTGCATTTGTGCACCAATTATCATGAGACTGTGATGTCATGAAAATATTCTACCATTGATCAAAAATGTCGAAAAATTAACTAAGTTAGTAAACAGGAAGTTGATGAGTGACAGTCCTGAAATCGAATACCGCAATATTGGACCACGCGTTATTGTTGTATACCAACTATCAAGAAGCTGTGATAGGTAGTTGTTGAGAAAATTTCCTACCATTCACCATTATCGTCGAAAACTTAATTAAGTGGGTAAACAGGAAGTGGATAAGGGACAGATATGATATCAAATTTGTTACGAAAATTTCCTACCATTAAAGATTAATTAACTAAGTCGGTTAAGAGGAAGTAGATAAGCGAAAGACCTGAAATTGTGTCCCACGGTATGGGACCACAAGTATATATTATGTATCCCAAATGTCAAGAAGCTGTGTTAAGTAGCTGCCGAGAAAACTGTTAGAAATTTTTCACGCCCATCGCCCGACATTCACCTTACCATAACCCGGTTTTTGCACCTGTTTGACCTGGCCAAAAATCAATAAATGAAGAAAAAGAAATGTGTGCATTTTTTTAAGTAAACATTATTGTGCTCTTTTTGAAAATCACCTGACTTTAATGACCAGATTTTATAAGATAAATTATTCGATTCGTGAAAGAGAAATCTCGTAAACACCAGAAAATCTACATATTTATGAAGAAAAATGGTCGAATTTCAATGAATCCTTATTTTTACAGACCCCAACACCACATATAAATATGCATGTACACATAACAACGAACATCTAACCTTAATCACTTTTATCTTTTTTTTCTTACTACTAAGTATTAAATTTTTTCAAATATCATTATACATGTAATTGTAATAACAATCTTTTGATAGGGACGTAACCAACATTTATCTTTCTTCTCTTTTTACACGATTATCCTTCTCCCGTTCCTCTCTTTTCATAAATATTTTTGTCTCATACTTGAGATAAGATCATGAATATATGATACTAGGTAAAGATAGAGGTATACAGCCGTTCTTGGTATGAAATTACATTATTTTGATGCAACTGTTGATGTTTACATCAGATTATATGTCAAGGGGATCCACCTACATGTATTGTTTACATATGAACAAGAATATTACAGTTTCAATTTTATAACTGTATATAATGCTTTTTATTTCCCATAGATAATGATTTCAGTGACAGTTATTTGGAAATGTCAAAGATGAACTATTATCAAAGAAATAGTGTACATTTATTATTCACTCAACGTGTTTGATGACTGTTTATTTAACTTTACAAGACCTGATATAACAACGTTGACCTTATTTGATGAGTTAGAATAGAATACTACAAATAAATACAGTCAGGTCAAAAATAATATGAAAATGCTAAGTATAATCAAAAATGCCTTTTCGATTGAAATTTTGACTAAAAGATACGGGTTGAAATTGCATTGCTCGGCACTTAATATGTTTCCCATTTTGCTCTAAAACTTTCATTGAATGTTAGAGAAGCAGAAACTGATGTTTCTGTTTCCCATATCATTTACAGGTAACATTAAATATGTGGAAATGTAAGGCTCCTTTCTTTAACATGGTGCATATCAAAACATACTAAGAGTGTGAAAAAAGTACTAGTATTTGCATTTAGTACAGACTCTTATCATTTCATGTGTTTTGGTCTTATACTGGGAATATTTATACATTCACAATATGAATACGAAATAGAGGATATTGAATGAGTGTAAGTTCAATACTGAATTTATTGCACGAGTTGAATAAAATCATATTATGCGAGCCTCTGGCGAGCATTGTATTATTTTATTCAACGAGTGCAATAAATTCAGTAATGAACTTATACGAATTGAATATTCTTTTTATCACATACCAAAAAAAAAAGGTCGTTTGAGGTGAAAAAGGACTATTTTTCATTGGCGCGCCTATAGTATAACGCTAACATTTAGCGCGTCTTCACACTATGTTTGCATAATGCTAATAACGTCACGTCAAAATATATGCACGGCCGTGCAATACCATATTTACGGAGTCGCAAAATCGGCACGGTGTGTGATAAATTGACATATGATATAGTCTTATATTATATTTATCTAAAGCGTATTGAAATGTATCATCATGTTTGTCCAATCATAGAAAATATATATCTCTTTGATGAGCAAAGTTGAACTGCTTTTACACAAGCATATGCACCATTATAACACAGTTATAATATCTCCAATATTTTTCACCAAATTTCAAAATTATGGTACTAAAGAGTAGGAAATGATTATTCTTAAAGGAAATAAAGATTTCAAGTTATAAGTAGATTATTAACTTTGAAGTCTCCTAAAATTAGAAACAACAGAGATAACACCGCTGGAAAATTACCCCACTCAACTGCAGTTTATTCGAAATGAATGAATAACATTTTGTATTGTGCATTTGAATATGATACAATTAGATTATCATTTGTAATATCTATTCAATCAAATCATCATATGAAACTATAACGATCCTTTTTTATGATATGTCAAATAATTAAAGTAAATAGTGCAGCAGATTCCTTCCTTTATTTTCGTAAGGAGTATTTCGTTGGTCATGTGAAAGCCTCAGACCAATGAAACCATACAAAAACTAAGGGCAACAATCAGATTGAGAGGGAAAAAGGTTTTGGTGTAGTGACCAATCAACGCGCTAAACCACGTGGTTGCAGCCGAAATGTGTGTATGACTTGTATTTATTTAGTTTGTTTAAATAACTTAATTTTATTCATTAAACAATATTGGTAATAAATTGCTTACACATTGGTTAAAATAATTTGTACTCTGATGTGTAGGATGATAAAATTGCTTCCCGCTACTTCTTTTTGTTACAAATGTAATATTTTGAGCAGTTTTGTAATAAGAACAGTGTCCTATTGCTATCTCAGTGATGCTATATAAATTGTTATCTTGGCTTTAAAATAATGAATTATGTATATAAACACTAGCTAACATTCGTTTTCAAAATATTTGGGATATAACATTTTTAATGGTATTGGAAAAAGGACGCTTTAAAGTTCAAATTGGCCCAAGATACAATGTAATTGAAAATTCATTCCTATTATTAATGGTATAGTGAACGTTATTCACATTACTTGCATTAATTAATAAATATAAGGATACTAAACATTTCATATTCCCTTTAGGTCTCACTATCGTATTGTAACACGGCCAGCGATTGGCTGAACAAAAGTGCAGGGAAAACCGTAAGATAAAATGGGACATCAGGGGATTTGAAGAAAAAAGGATGTTTTAAGTATAAAAACTAATTTAGAAACTAACACTATATTCTTTCCTAGAGAAATTGAAATATTTCTTAAGTCTCTAGGATAAGTTATCACTTGGATATTAAAGTACGATATTATGACCTAATACACGACATCACTATAATTTATGACTATTGCTGTAAGAAACAAGCAAGCACAAGTTGTGGTTGAATTGTCAGTGAATGACCATTATTATGTTTACCACACAAACTATTCGGAATAACAGAACAATTGATTATAATAATTAATGAACTAATACCGTAACTAAAATCGTCCATGTAAGCAGCTCAAGATAAATAATTAATCATCAAAAAGTCAACAACTTAGAGAAAGGTTCTTTGAAGTTATAAAGAGTAATTTACAAGACGTCGGCAAACATTTTACAGTAAAATATTGATAAAAAAAATAACCTGAGCTGATGCGGAGTCACCGTCTATCGATGTTGCCATATCAAGAGCACTTTATTGTCGCATTATTTCTCCAAGGAAAGGTTTATGTTTATCAAACGTTCGCTTTAAAATTCAACTTTCTGACTTATCCTGTCAAAATCCACCTGGAGACTGACTAGGTAGTTATAACTGTTGTTCCTGGTTAATAAACACTTAAATGGCCTTAAAAAGACACGGAAAGTCACGAAATTAGCCGACTTGTAAAGTGTGTAATCAATATATAACAAAACATATGACGGGATGTAAACGTTATCCCATCTAAACTTTGTATCACATTACTAGGAATATAGATAAATAAATTTTGACTTAAAGGTGCTTTCCTCCAGATGAACCGAAATATTTCACAAAAATCAAACAGTTGTTAGATATAACATGCGTATTGCTGGTAATAGAGTTAATTGTCACATATAACGTGTACATGATCATTTGAAGAATGTGTTGTTAGATATAACATGCGTATTGTCGGTTGTAGTGTAAATTGTAACATATGAAGTGTACACGATCTTTTGTTAAATCAGTTGCTAGATATAACATGTGCATATTCGTTAGTAAAGTTAATTGTCATATATGACGTGCACACAAACATTTGTAGAATTTGTTGCTAGACATAACATGCGTATTGCTGGTAGCAGAGTTGATTGTCATATGTTACTTGTACACAATCATCTGTAGAATCAGTTGTTATATATAACATGTGTATGGTCAGTAGTAAAGTTAATTATCACATATAACGTGTACACGGTCATTTGTAGAATCAGTTGTTGGATATAAAGATATAACGTGTACATGGTCGGTAGTAGCAGAGACAAATATATGACATTATCAATATATAGCATGGTTCTACACACGTAATGTTTGTTAACTCATCTATGACACACATGGTTATGTTTCTAAATACTATGCTCTCTTCAACGTGAAGGAATTAAAAACCTGAATCTGTTTCTTTAAAACTAACTCATATCTACTGTCTCCCTCATAGCCGAATGAGTCAAAGTTTAATCATCTAGTTTTATCAAAGCGCAAGTGGTTTATTTTCTTGTTCAATGTGAAGTTTATATCGAATATTTACCAAGGGTTTATTACCGCATATATTAGAAGGTTACTATACGCCTAAAATTATCGTTATATAAACAATTAATCGATATATCTATAACCTTGTTTATCAAGGTCTTGAATATACTGATGGATGAGATTTTTACTTCCTTTCTGTTATTTGATATCACAAAAGAAATTAAAATAGTAGATCTGGTTTGATATTAATTATTTACAATTGAAACTTTATGTTTAATTCGTGTTACCATATAAACAATTAATGGATCAACTTTTTCTTCTGATATAGTTTGAGCAACAAGTGCGTTTTACATAAAGTAGATGCGTAATTGTTATTGTAAAGGTTGAGAAAACTTTCCCATTCTTTTCTTGATAAATCACCCTTTCAAATCACCGAAAGTAAGGAAAAATATAAAGAAATTATAAATTATGCATAGCGCCTTTATGATTGAGAATGATTTTGAAGTACATATGTAGACAAAATAAATCTAAGGGCTCTTAAGAGTATTGAACCCCAACCGCTTGCATGAAACCCCAACACTGTTGGCAACAACACGGTTAATGGAAATGGCCTAAACCAGTACATTGTTGATAAATATGTCTACAGTATACAATTTTTCTAAATGTTTTTACAGATGATACTCGGCCGTTTATATTATGACAGGATATCGGTTAGATCTATCAGAAATAAATTAATCTTAAATTAAGTAGTTTTTGTCGATGTCGATGTAAATTTTGTGTAATTTTCAAGTTATATATTTTTTAAATATTTTGTTATAATCTAACTATCTCTGGTAATTGACACACATATTTTAATGTCAAGTCAATTAAAGTCCGTGATGGGCTTTATATTGGATTATGCAATCGTGAAAAACAGCTGCAAATTTTTTATATATTCAATAAAACTGATCAAGATAAAATTCATATTACAAATCATATTATGTATTACATTTACATTATATTGTCCATATAAATTATTCTTCTCCCAATCCCTCCCTGGGCGTGCACGTTGCTGAGTAGGCTCACGGCAGGTCAAGGTCAAGTCCTCTCATGTACCAGAGCAATTGGTTGACCTGTCGTGACTAACTCGGGAGGATGGCGCTAAACAGAGCCGTTTTTGTTTGCTGCCGTCACGGAACATGATGCCTTGGCTGTATTGTCGTACTTCCATCAACCACCAACGAAAGAAAAACAGGTTAAGGCAGATCTGCATAGAAAAAAAATTTAAATGATCTAATAATGTTTCAATTTATTTCTCTTCGTACTTCTGCACGTACTAAAGTTATTAAAATATGTGATTTTCAGAGGGAAGAAAACTACCGATCATCAAACGCCATTATTAATAAATCTACTGTAATTTTTCATGATATTCAATAAACTATTCATACAGAAACACAAGTTCGCATAATTATGAATTATTGTTTAAGGTTATTTATTTTTAAAAAAAAATGTCGTACGGCTGGCCTAAACATTGCGTATAGACCTTTTTACGACTATGAAAATTCGACCGGATGTAGTATTTTCTCGCGCATGCGCTTTCTGGGTAGGGCAAAATAGCATCGCTTTACATAGAAATGTAGTCTAAGTTCATTAACATTTCCGTGTTAGTGAAAGTATAAAATTCACTTAATAGTTCGCCTATGTATTCAATTTCCTTTCAAGTTTCTAAGATATTTATGCCCGTTTGAAAACAATATCAGATTTTTCACGTTAACGTTTACAGAAATGTTAGCAAATTCATACATACCCTCATTGTTTGACATGAAATATGCAATTAATTCAGTATAACCATTATTCTTACAATAATTTGTGATTCCTGATCGTTAATGAGAAATCTAGCTTTCTTTCTTCCATTTAGTTAATTCTGGCTTCCAAAATTTCATAAGCCCCTTTTAAATATTTTTGATTTTCATCTGATGCGGCACTAAAGTTTTGGATAAGACCCGTTGCGAAAGCTAACCAGAATACTGTAAGTTGATTTAACCCAATTTTTTACTTGCAAATACCCTTGTTCCAGTCAATTCTTGTGCATTTTGCGATAAAACAATTATTTTAATATCGTTCTGTACCATTTAAAGTATCAAAATATTAATACCGTCATTAAAATTGCCTGTTTAATTCTAAAACACCAATAACGCCGGACTTTTAGAAACTAAGCGAGTCCTCGTATGACGTCATGCGCGGAAAGTCGTGTACTATATTTAGAACATATTTGTTGACATTATTTCAATATTTATATTCCAAGATAATGTTTTTATTTATACTCTTTAATTTTTAGTACACAAATATGATTATATTGAATACAAAAGTCAGTAAATCACCCTTTTCAATATTTAAAAACGTAATTTTAGTTGGGAGCACATGGGTTCGTAAAGGTCAATCTCGTAATCACGTGTTCAAACATTTTGGCAATATGTCGGCCAAGTGCTGAATTTTATACCTGTCGGAAATCAGGTAGTTTGTGTTCGTAATAAGATTTTTATTTGTCCATCCTTGGCTTTTCAACATATTATATATAGTTTTATCAAGGTATACTTCATTTTACTTCATGGTATGTTCGATGAATGAACACGAGCGTGTCAGATTCCTGGCACGATTATTGATGGACTTTCCCTACCGGTCTGTCTTCAGCGTTCACGTCATGTCATAGTATATGAAAAGGATACGCTGAAGACCTTAAGCTACCATTGAGTCAAACCCCTGCTGGGGACCTAGACTTTGAGCGTCACTATGATCTGTCTGATCAAATTTGAATATTTCATTTTTAATTAATATAAAATCATTAAAATTAACGTTATGTTAACTCTGACGACACTATCTCTTAGGATGTTTTTCTTTTTTTGCAAAATGGCAGTGATATGGTTATAATTTTCCCGTTGACTTTCATTGACGTGACGACAATTTCAAAATGGCTACGCCCAAACTGACGTCATTAAGGGTTCTACTTACATTTAGCGTGAAGTGTATTTGGTAATTTAATTTTTTTAGTTTCCTTAGTGATCAATATACTTACTGATCAATATCTTAGTAATTTGATTGATATGAAAAATTAGAACGAACTTGTCAAAAGGCAATTTCACTGGCAAACAATTGTTAAAAAAACCGTTTTAAGTAAAATACCAGAAACCTCTTTATAAATTAAAACATACAGCAGATTTACATAATCACACACCACATAATTATCATGACATTCTATCGTATTTTATATTCATTTTTACGAGAAAAAGAGCAATGAAGTGATTTGGTTAGAGACAGCTTCATACACAAACGCGTTTATTGAATACCGCAAGGGGTTGTTACGGGAACACAAAGTAAAAGCTTTAAAATATTCTTCTACGACCTTCTTGCGTATACAAGTAATCTTAACAAAATAACACTATCATAATTATACCATACAGTTATGAACAAGAACCGGTTGTCCCCGAAAAGATTTTTGACACAGGAAAGTATACCTCTTGTAGTGTCAGTTATGTCACATACAAAGTTCAAAATGTAAAAATAAACAAATGCAGTAACTCCAAATATAAGCAATGCAAACATAAGATTCTTTTGCACTGTACTTCTATTCAATGCGACCAATCTACCTACAAGTTTAATGTTGATACCTCTTATGGTTTTAGAGTTATGTCCCGGACAAAGTTCAAAATATAAAAAAAAACAAAGGGCAATAACTCCAAACATAAGGAAGGCAAACTTGAGGTTCTTTTGCACTGTACTTCTATTTAATGAGACCAATCTACATAAAAAGTTTCATTTTGATATAGAGTTATGTCCCGGACAAGGTTCAAAGTGTAAAAATGAACAAAGGACAATACAAATATGGCAAGACAGAGTTATGATTTTTTTGCACATCACTTCTACCCAATGAGATATATTTACCTACAAGGTTTCATATTGATATATTTTAAAGTTTTACAATTATAACACCGACAAAGTTCAAAATGTAAAAATGAACAAAGGGCAATAACTCCAAAATAAGCCAAGACAGATATCCTTTGCAATGCACTTTATTAAAAAGGAATTTTTTAAAGAATTTTTGGTTGTTTTTTGAATAAATTTTCCAATTTAAAAAAGGGGGTAATACTTTTTTCTTTGCAAACCCCTAAAATGAAAACTTTTTAAAAAC